CTTGTGCCCAGGACTTCTTTGTCTGCCCTTCCCTCGAGAACCAGGCGCCCAGCCCCGGAAGGGAAGTGTGGACCAGTGTGGGAATTGAGCGGTTTCCGTGAGGGTGGCAGGCGGGCGGCCAGGTCAGCTGCGACGTGCCATCCTTGTACAGGTGACTGGACTGGCAATGACTGGAGGCTGCTGTGGAGACAAGTGACCCTACTGGTCCCTGCCTGAACAGAGATGGGTTCTGAGTGCCTGGGATCCCATCGACGATGTGGGGATCCAGGACCTCTTGGTTTCTGGGGTGACAAGAGGCTGAGGATGCATGGTGGGTGGCTTGTCTTGGACCCTGTGTGCACGCCTTGGTAGGAAAACTTACAGGAGACTGCGATAAAGACATTTATTTATTTTTCTTTCTAAATTCTAGCTTTTGGGAAGTTAATTTTTTTTTCTTTAACCGGTTCTGTTTTTTATTGAAAGGAAATTCACTGTATGCCCTAATCAGAATTCTTCCTTCACAAGCTGTAACATCTCTCCTCCCACCCCATCCCCAAGATCTCTCCTAAATGGAAACACCTTAGGAACAACCATTTTGCTGTTTTTTGTTTGTTTGTTTGTTTGTTTTGTAAGTAACTAGGTCTTATTTTATACCGTGGTTTGACTTTAGAGTGGGGTGTATGTGTGTGTGTGTGTTTCTGACATTTCCTGTTTATTCAGTACCTGGAACAAGAGTGTCAGCATTGGAGGACTGTTTCATCGTTTATCACCTTAGTGAACCCCCTTTTCATGAAGAAGTGGATCTCATCCTTCCCCTCATTAACTTAAACACATGTGATTATTTCGTACATTACAGCTAGTTTGAGTTTCCAATTTTTTCGTGGTGACTTTTACAAATTTTTTATTATTTACTATTTATAATTATATGGTATAAATAGAAGTTTTCCTACTTACTTTTCCCTTAAAGTTAATTTTAATTGCCAGTTTGATTAGTTTTCTTCCTTTATTACTCTGTAGGTTGAGGTCCATTTTCACTAGAACAAAGGTAAACTTTGGTGTGACTAAACCGTTTGAGACTTTCACGTGTTACCTGCCTGCCCTAATTTATGATGAAACTATGGGTTG